TTTTTAGGGTTTGCGCGAAGAGGACCCGCCATTTGTGCTCCCTCCCCTCCCTCGCTGCGCTCGGGGGGTCCCCCGAGCCGGGAGCACTCAGGCGGGCACTCTAAAGCCTCGTTCGCGCGATAAATACAGACGGCCTCCCCTCTTGGGGGAGGAGGAGGTGTGAGTATCGCCTAACCCAAACCCAAACCCAAACCCTAACCGAACCCAAACCCGAACCCAAACCCGAACCCTAACCGAACCCTAACCGAAACTCTAACCGACGCGTATCACTAAGACCGCGTGGGTTGGGAGGTTTGATACCTGCCTGGCCCGATATCCCAGAGGTTTGCAAACCTCGTTGTAGTCTCTACACTTCTTGACCAGCAACGTTGCCGATTTTCTCACCGAAGGATTCCCTGCTCTGGAGGAGCTTACCTTTCTCCCCATCGAATGGCGTGTCAAGCGAGGAACGTCACTAGGTCTCTCCGCCGACGCATTTCCATGCTTACGCACATTGGTGTTGAGCGGGGTATCGATTCCTTGAGAGCCGAGATTCTACCAGAACCTCCGCTCCTTCGAGCTCCACGAAAAGTGTAGCGAACGCAGCGGCTTTACCATCGATGATCTTCTCGACGCTCTTCATGCAGCCTCACCGCACCTTCAAGAGCTTGACCTTTCTCGCTTCGACCCTACTAGTTCCCCATCTAATAACCAAGCCATCCGACAAATCCACCTCCAAAGTCTCCGAAGTCTCTACATGGAAAATGACTTTGTGGTCGCGTCGGAACTGACGAAGCATCTTCGGGTCCCGTCTAACGTCACGCTGCGGCTCCGCATATCTCTCCCGTCTTCAGGTCCCGCACCGCGAGATACCACCGAGCAGCTCTTCGCTGCAATACTCCCGCCAAATATGCGCATCGCTTTTGATTCGGCAAAGGAACTCTCCATACATATCGAACGCAATAGATTCGTAGTCCACGTGTTCGACTCTACTAGCTCGGACTATCAAATCAACAGACCGAACGAACGTCGTTCTGAGCGTGTCAACGTCGGACTCTTTGGACCGTACACCTACGACGACGCTCTTCAGGCTGTTCCCACTTTCGGTGTTTCGCAGAGGCTAACCGCGCTCACCGTTAATTCGCCTTCAATTCCAAAATCCGTCGCTGCATGGAAAGTCCTCTTGGGCGCATTTCCTCTCCTCAACACTTTCACTGTTTACGCCGGGCGCCAGATGGCGTTCGATGGTGCTGTCGATGGCGCCTTCGTCGGACTTAGTAGGGAGCGTCAAGCTGAGACGGCTGCTTCGATTTCGAGCTCAAGGAGAACACCACGCTGTCCTTTGCTCAAAGCCATCAATATCGTATGCCTACCAGGAATGGGTGAACGACGATTTCGAAGTGGCATAGGGCCCTTCTTCAACATCGTGGTGGAGTGCCTGCGTTCTCGGGCGGGGCACGCGGGCAGGCTGGAGACCCTATCCTTCAAATCGTTTATGCACTCCTATCGTACAGGGCTCGAGGACTCACATGCTGAGTTGGGGAAGTTGGTTGACAACGTTGATATATTGTGACGCTATCCGGGTCCGTCATGTACACTGGTCTCCAACGAATCCCGTTGTTGCGATCATGAAAGAAGGGCGGATAGCTGGCGAGCATCAGGTTGTCCTTACCGTCAAGTAGATATAGTCGGTGATACCGCCATATGTTCATGATTCATTTTTGTGAAGAGTTGCGTGTATCCAATTACATCGATGCCCTCAATTTATGTATCTCACACGAACAATATGACGACTCACATTACTAAGACATACATCTGTAATTTCTGTCATAAAGGATTTCGTTGGGGTATGAGAGCCGTGTCCAAGAACTGGAGCATGAATGTGATCCGTAAAACAAACATCTCGTTGCTCCAGGGTAACGAATAACTACTGAAATAGCCTGATTTAGTTGCGCTTGACCAACCCGACCTTCAACGGCAGCGAGGGATTGATCTCGTTTCCGACAGTCGGGTAAACGACACCAGCCATGTTCCATTTGACGTCCTTTCCCGTCAACTCGAATGTGAACGTCGACAAGAGCACAGCCAGTACAACTTCTGTAGGGATATCGATCCAGAGTCAGTGTAAGGAGGCAGCGAGATCCCTGTGTACGTACTCATTTCCAGCTGGGAGAATTTGAAGCCGCTACGAATCGAGCAGCAGTCAACGTTGGAGTCGGCCAACTCGTCTGTGAATACACGTACATGCAAGCCCGCCCACCGCCCCAGAAGGTCATCCTGGAATGACGCCAGATCAGCTGATGTCGCTTCCCACGTAAGGAATGACACCGTACAAGTTCGAATAGACACCTGGGATCTTCGCGTCCAACACGGCGTCGGGAAGCTTCGACAGCCAGCGCTCTGGCTTCCATTCGTACGCATCCTCACCCCAGAGTGCCTTACGCGTGTTCGACGACAGAACTCCAACGAGAACAGTGGTGTCCTTTGGGATGGGGATCTCGGTCATCAGCGCACCATCCCGACCGCGCACGGGTTCGGACAGCGGCAGAACGACGTCCTCACGAGTCCTACCAACATCATACGCCTCGTGAGCAAGGTATCCTAGCAATGAAGTGCTGTCGAAGTAGCATACTCTCGGAATCGGAAAGGAGCAGGAGCGAAGCTATACGGGGCGACCAGAATAGTGGGTCAGTACAGAAATCACCAGATCTCGTGATAACTCACAGCCGCAGGGTCTCACGACAGACAGCGTCGAGATATGGCAACTCAATGAGATCATTATAACTCAAATCCATTCCTCCACTTTGGGCCCGCATGATTTCTTGGCGGAGCTTGGATTGCGCTTCGGGGTGCTTCGCAAGCTGGTGCAGGGTAAGCGAAAGGGCGTTCGAGGTTGTATCCATAGCGGCAATCGTTAAGGTCCTGGACAGAGAAGCATCATGTAGGATGTCCTGATGTGCAGGCGGTCCTGGGGTGAAATGGGTTTCATCTAACGACTTACGACATCTGTCCAATCAACTCGTCATCCGCTAACCTATCGGTCTCATCTGCAGCCATGTTCGCCCTCACTAGGAGTGGGAAGAACTCAGCGTGATTATGTTTTACGAATAAATTACGATTATATCCACTTACACAAGATGCTCATCAAGTCCTTGCCCTCGCGGAATAGCTGCTTGGCCCCCTCGTCTCCCTTTGCGAGAGCAGCCTTCTTCGCGTTGTAGATAGCAACGGAACGCTCGTGCATAGTGTTCACCAGCGTACATAGGCGTTGGAACGCCTTGTGCGGGAGCTTCTCGGCGAGACGCTTTCCTAAAGCCTTGGGAACCATCCATTCGACGTATGGCCAGAGTTGAATCCATATCACTATAGAATATATCGCAGGACTGTAAGTCAGGCTTAGCCACGCTATCTACAATGCAAAGCACCGCTCTGCCGAGACGAGGTACTCACATGAACGACTTGATAGCGCTTCCGTATGAGTCCAGGCTCTCTTCGGTAAGTGGATCAAAGGAATAGCCGAGACCTGCCTGGCCCATAAGCTCAAGAGCCGTCCGTCCCATCCAGTCCACCAGGTTGACTTCTTTGGGGCCGTCCTGGACGGCAATTCTGATTGCCTTCCGCAACTATGAGACCCGTCACCGTTAGTCACGAGGTCCAGAAGACGGTCTGAGGCGTCCGTCACCTTGTGAGTTACGTCATAAAAGATAGGGATCATCTCTCTCATATGATTTATGTTGAAAGCTGGATTAAGCATCTTCCTCTGGCGACGATGAACATCGCCTGAAAAAGCACGTGATCCCGGCAATGAGCCGGTTGATCTAGTGAGAAGCAAGCCAGACCACCTACCGGTGGTAGCCAGGAGTCCGGGACCCAAGGTTGCGTTGTTCATTCTGGCACGAACCACGAACGGTCAACACTTCGAAAGGTTCGATTGCAAGCAAAGTCTCACCGGAGAAACCAGTGCGTCTCATCGTAGACATACTGATCCTTGACTGCGATAGCATGCATGGCCTTGGGATCGAAGACATAGACAATCTTTTGCTGTTTGGGTCCATAGCATGAGGATGGAAGATCTGGTGCGAGAGCCATGAGTCATAAGACCTACCCCGAACCTTCCATGAAGGGCAGAGACGGGGCCATACTGCTCGAGCGATCTGTGGAACTCCCAGCCTTGCTTGTCATATATTTGTTTGAGATTTCCTGAAAAGAAGACACGGTAGGTTGACCGAATATTTAGATGATGCGCACGGATACCACTCACCCCAGAGGATAGAAGCACTTGCAGGTCCGGGTAGATTGTCTAGTGCATTCTTCACGACGAACGGCCGCAGGAGCTTCCAAAGAAACCAGCTGGCCCCACAGATCACAGGTACTTGCAGAAGTAGGCTTGGCGTCATCGGCAGCGCAAGAAGAGGGCTACGCAATTGGTGTGCGCCGTCTGACAAGGAGGGAAGCAAAGATGGGGGTCGTCAACTATATATTATTCGGGGTATACTAACGCCGGCACCCACCTGCTAATGTGCTATGACAACAAAGCTCGTTCCAAGCACGGAGAATAGAAAACGGGCCGACTCTAGAGCTTTGCGGCGGGACAGAATGCGAAGCGACGTCACGAGAGCATGTTCACGGGGAATCAATTGCCGCAAGTGCACCTAACGTAAGTGTCATGCTGCTTCGCGAAGATGAATCTTGTGGGAGTGCCCGACCCCAGCTGCAGAGATTGTTCTCCGGATTTGTGGAATGCTGGAACCCGTGGAAGTCGGAGTGGACTCATAACTCATCTGTGAAAGGGGCGCAGTCGCCTTGGCCAATCCGCCTGCGGACACCAGTCAACCGACATGTTTGCGCCGCCCTGCGGGCGATCCGAACGTCTAAGCACACTTGCTCATCATGGTCGTGTGCGAGCCTTAGGACAACACTTTCTTCATCACATTGTAGATCTGAACCAGCACTGATCCACGAGCTGAGACTTCGGATTTGTATGTTCAAGTCTAAAGGGCTTAGTCGCTGGGAGAGGAGTGTCACCTTGGATAACAGCTGGGATTGGGCCTGCCAGAGGTCCAGGTGCGTAAATCGTCGCAGGCAACATCCCGATCGGCGAGAGTGGAAATGTAAGATATCGATTTCCAGATGCCCCACACGTCCTGCAGATATCCGGCAAATCGTCAGTGACAAGGAGACGTTGCATACAGGTCGTCAGGGCCTCTATTGCATGTCGTCCCATGAGGATATAGATATATCGAAGATGAAGGTACACACCAGTCAAGGTATATACATTTTCTATGCTGCCAGTAAGCCGGAAGATGTGAGGCCGAACCAGGGTGAATGTATGTCTCAAGCATACGAGGACGATACAACAAGAACTCACACAAGCCGCCGTAGGGCCGTGAATAGCCGCAAGATATCTACACGAGATGGAGAAGATGTAAGCAATTGTGTGTCGGTGTGGGGAGGTTGCCTAGTGCGTGTGTGAATGCAATGTGCAGCTGAACTGAGGCATACGGAAACGATAGACTCAGGCGCGTTGCAGCCAGCCGACATCAAGCCCAGTCATCCTACGCATGTTCTCAGGGTACGCTTTGTTGCTCTCCATAAGGAGAGCGGCAAGCCGCCGGCAGATGCTTCGAGGGTAGTAAAGGTGCTCCGCTTGTGGGAACCCCGGATATCGCTTCAGCAGTCTGGGAATCCCGTGAGGATCGGAATGACGGTGACGTCTAAGTGAGCTTCCTTACCCGTCGAGGTCCGAATATGCTGCAGCTGTGTCGAGGATTCTGAACAGAACCTTCCCCGCTCGTACTGACGCGCTCTTCGCGAGTACGTATTGCGTCGGAACTGCGTAGGACAGACGCATGCTAGGCTTGAAAAGCCATATCTGCATGTGGGCAAGGGCAAGGTCAGATAACGAGAAGTTGATATGAAGAGCGGAGTTCGAACAACATACGAGAAGACGGGGCCGCTCTTCCTCCTCATCGAAAACGACGAAACGGTAAGTCGCGTGTGCATGGACGAACTCGTTCATGTCTTCTGCGATGAACGCGGAGAGAGGTAATTTTGCGGGACTAGGCTCCAAATCGCGCTGAGACAGACGCTCAGATGTCAGGGGAAGTCGGTTTACATACCTAGCGTTCGCGTTCATGGGTCGGACGGCGTATTTCGCAAGGCGGTACACCAGTGGCCCATGACCGTCGGGCGACGGACGATCTTGACAACGGCCGATGATAGCACCGCAGATACAGCGCGTGCGTCTCCAGCCATCGTCCTGCTGTGTTGGGTTTCGTCAGCGTCCGATCCAGACTACAGGTCCACCCGCCGCGATGTCAACTCAGATTACTAGACGGTCACGTAAAATTGTGTCCTCGCATGTAGCTCCCGCAACAGTGATCTCAGCCACACGAGAGTTGTTAAGCAAGTAACCAGCGGCAACGCCACTGTCCATCTCGGACATTTTGTATCAGCCGAAGGAGGAACACTCCTGCCGTCGCCGCGTCGAGCCCTCGCAATATCGGACGGATCCCCAGAACCTTCGTGGGCTCCGAGGACCGCCACAATACGCTCAGGCGGACACGACGACTGCCGCTGGTAGCTCACCCAGCGACGGCCTTCTTTCCGTCCTACAGCCGCTCAATCCAGCCCCGACCTGCTGCCTCGCGACACGTCTATCCCGCGATAAGGGATAGGTCCCGCTACACGCAGTCTTACGGTGATAGAGAGCCAGGAGACGTAACCCAGAAATTTGGCTGCTCACCTTGTGATCGTCTTCGCTCGCAGGCCAGACGTTATTCTGCACGACGGCCGACTCCTCGAAGAGGATGTAGCTGCCACCCACGAGAGCCTCGCCCTCTTGCGGCCAGAAGCCCTGCACCGAGTGTTTCTTCACATGCTCGTGGAGCCGCTGGTCCGAATGGCACATCCACGCGTCGACGAGTTCGGCCCAGTGCTCGGAGGGTAGGTCACGGTATTCGTGCAGTTTTGACGCCTGGACAAGGGGGAGGGAACACGCTGCGCAGACGAAGCTCGTCGGGGCTGTCGAGAGGAGCTGTGTGGCGTCCAGGATCGCGGGAGGGGTGTCGAAGGGCGAAGTAGGAGGTGAGACAACGGGGAGCTTGACTTCGTAGTATTGTCCGACCACCTTCACTTCCTTCACGCCTGGAGGCACTGGCGCGGGGAGGGTAAGAAGCGGAGAGGTGGACGCGCCGCAGCGCAACAGCAGGCGGCTGCGCTCGCCGGTAGAGGACTCTGACACGGGAACGACCTCAGCCTCGAGGTTCGCTCCTGGTGTCATACCTTGCACGTTCAAGAATACGAGGATATGCTGGAGCGTCTCGTGGTACTCCGCAACGTAGTGCACGTCCAGTCCAGCTGTACCTAGTCGCAACACGTCAGCCCAAGGACAGACTGAAGGCAGCGTTATTCCTTACTTTGCACTGGTAGAGGCGGCGCGACGATCCCACTCGACGATCCCGGCCTTTTCGTCCTCAACTTGATTTTCTTCGGCTCCTTCTCCTTCTCGCCCTCCGGCGTCTCTGGCAGGTTAGGACTCGACGACCTCGGACTCTGGTTGAGAAGCCACGCTAGCGGCGGCGCCGACAGACTCCGACTCCTTAGCTGCCTAAACGACTTCCTGCGCGAGATCGGGGTAGGAGGAGGGGCTGCAGGCTGTATATGCTCGGGGACGGGCTCGCGCACGAACTCGGGAAGGGAGAGCATCGCTCTGGCATCGTTGATCTGCATCTGCAGCTGGACTTCCTGCGGCACGCCTTCGCGAATGAACTCCGGGAGGGTGAGCATCGCGTCGGGATCCTTGAATTTCTTCTTGGCGAGCACGGCTTCTTGCGAGTGCAGTCTTCCCGCGTCGGAATGTCGTGCGAGGCGGGTGACGAAGGCTTCACGCTGCACACAAACACTCAGAGGTCGTTCAGGACACCATATATATGAAGGGAACACGTACCTTCTCTTGGTCCCTCTGCCGCGCTCGCTCCAACTTCGCCTCCATCCCACCATCCAGCACGACCGCCTGGTCCACCAGCTTCCGCTCGCTCGCCCTCCCTATCAACTCAACCATCCTCTCCAGCTCCAGCTCTTCCCTCGCCCGCTCCTTTCCAGGCCTCACCCTCTGCTTCTCTGCGTCCTTCCCCTTCCCACTCGCACTCGCACTCGCCTGCGACAGCTCCTTCAGCCGCGACGAGCTCGCGAGCCGCGCCCTCTCCATCTTCTCCAGCTGCTCGCGCTTGCTCTTCTTGAGCTCCACCCGCTGATCGTGCAGCTGCGGCGCGACGACGTACAGCCGGTCGATCGCGAGCGCGACCGCCTCGAGGTCCATGCGCATCTTCTCGCTCATCCCCCCTCCCTCCCGCTCCCGCTCCCTTTCCCTTTCTCGCAGACGATGGTGGTGCGACCGCTCGGGCGAGCCCTTCTCCTTGTCCGTCCCGGCTCCATCATAGTCCCCCGCGTCGTATATCGGCAGCTCCGCGTCAGACGCGAACGGGTCGTACGTCCCCGGCTCGTACTCCGGCGGCAGATGATCTCGATCGCTATCCTGCTCTCCATACACAAGCCCAGCGTCCCCAGACTCGGGGTCCACCGCGAGCTCCAGGATCCTGTCGAACTCCTGGTCCACGCGCGTCCACAGCAACGCGGTCTCGACCGCCTGCACGGCCGGCTTCGGTTCCGAGCCGCCCCCGTCCTCCGACCCACGCACGAGCTGCAGATCGGTAATCTGCCGCTGCAGCCGCGCCAGCGGGTCGCCTCCCGACGCGGACGCGGATGTGGACGCGGACGCAGATTCGGCGGGCGTGTTGCCCCAGGACATCGTGCGGGGCAGCGCCGTCGGGGACTTCGCGCCGGCGTGCGATGACGGAGCATGGAGCGCGGCGAGCCTGGAGAACTGGGCAACGAGCGAGACGAGCGCGCGGGCGAGGGCGGCGTCGTGCGCGCTCAGGGTGCTGCGAGTGAGCGCGAGGCGGTCGACGCGCTGCTGGAGCTCGCGGACGAGCGCGGGCTCGTCGGCGAGGTCGGCGGTGGGGACGCGCTCGACCATCACGGTGTCTACGTTTTCGGATGGGCCGGCGCCCTGCTCATGCGCGCGAAGGTTCAGGACGAGGGTCTGGAGCGGGGTTGGGGACGACGACGACGGGGAGAAGGTTGCCGCAGACGGTGATGTGGACGATGAGGACGCGGCGGCGATGGAGGCGAAGAGCGCGAGGGGGGACGTGGCGGTGTGGGGGCTGCGTGGGGACGGCATCGAGTGTCGGCGGTCCGGGATGATAGGCCGCCAGTTGGAGGAGGTGGAGAGGAGGTCGTTGAGGGTCGTCAGGCAGGACTTCTGCACGTTTAATATGGACGAGGCCAGTTCGTCCTGATGGGGGAAGGAAGAGGATGCGGTTAGTGATTAGTGCCTGCGGTCGTCGGGCAGTGGTGATGGGCTTCGAGAGCGAGGATGGAAGACCGGAAGCGGCGTAGGGGGAAAATGAGACGAGACGACTATGAGAGAGCTGACATAGAGAGCAGGCTTCCGCCCGACCACAGCAAGCACAGTATCAGAATGCGATGCGGCGTATCCGAGATGGGGTGTGTTTGATGGCGTTTAGATGAGACGGGTAGCAGACGAAGAATTGCCCTAGCATCTCCACTTCTGCAATCGCGTCCGCGTCGTCTGCCTCAACCTGCAGCGAGAGGATGCTCTCACTCTTACTCTCACGAACCAGCCACCGGGCACACCAGGACCACGATCGTCCGTGCGCGAGCGAGCCCCGACTCGTTCCGCATCGCATGTGGCGCTGCGCTTCCCTTTTTCCGGCCTCCTTGCCGTGCGCGATGTCACCTCGACATCAGGATGAACGGCCGCAGCAGCACCTGCTGGAGCATACTGCGACATCAGGAAGGATGGGCTTACACAGTTCTAGTATAGCCGCACGACACCCCAGACAACTCGGAGCCGGTATTGTCAGCCCCGCGACATGTCGAGCTGGTATGCATAGTGCGTCTCGCAGTCTCACACAGCCCCAGCCCTGCAGCAGCAGAGATTGGAAAGCATCGGCGTGGAGAAGATGATATGGGCGATAGAACGTGTCAAGCCTGCCAGCCTTCGACACCAAGGCGCGCTTTCCCGCGATGGTCCGAGGAGCAAGCACGGTGAACATCTGTCATCCAGGAGACGATCCATTTCCACGACCCCCTTATGACCCGCCTTCTAGTATTCGTGAGGGATGGAGAAGATGGCCGCAGGTAGGATAGCAACGCTCCGCTTCTGCAGCCAACGCCCCGCACCCTGTAGCTAATCGAGCTCGCTAGAAGGAATCTCTCCCGCATGGGATAGACAACGAGGGAACCGAAACCAGGATATAGTAGAGTACTCACCGAACTAACCGTAGCCTCAGTCTGCTCGTCTGTGCGCGGTGCCTCAGCTGCCGTCCCAGCACCCACGCTCTCCCCCGCCTCTCTCGTTCCCTCCGTCGTCTGAGGGGTATCAAGGCCGTTCGAGCTCGTCTTGACATCCGAGCGGCGCTGCCCCGCCGAGTGGACGAGCTGAGGAAAAGGCGTCGGGATGTCGAGGTGGAGCGGACGACGTGCTTCCACGTCCGCTTCTGGCGCGTCCTCAACCTGGAACGTGGGCCGCGTCCGCGTCAGAGTCGCCATGTGTGCCTTTCTCGGTCGGATAGTAGCTGAGTCTAGTAAAGGCGAAGAAAAAGCCAGGACAGGAAGAGAAATACAAAAATGTGGAGGGAAGGAAAGGGAGCTGGGAGGTGGCTGAGAAACTGGAGATGGATAGAACACAGGCTAGCGACAACGGCGGACAGCGCCGGATCCATCACACGCGCTTCCAGGGCGCTTCGATTCCCTGGTTTAGTCCAAATCCAGTGCCTTGCAGCCTCATCCACGATGGCCGGGCACTGAAGTGCTTGGTTGATCCAGCTGAGGCGACATGAATCCGAACGAAGCCGCAACAATTCGCCTCACGTTTCTGAAAATTCTTGGTCGTACAGAGGGAATCGGATTAGACGAGAATAGAAGAGATAGTACATAAATAATACAACAGCGGTGGTGAATACAACACGACGTCCACTCTAAACCTCCTGGCTGTCCTTCTTGCCCTTTGATGTCTTCGAGGGAAGCAGCTCAGGGTTGATGTGGGGCACAACACCTCCTTGCGAGATGACGACGTCCCCGAGGAGCTTGTTCAACCTGTGGGGCGCATGTCGCGATGAGCACTGGCTCGAAAGCACACAAAGAGAAAATACTCACTCCTCATCGTTCCGGATAGCAAGCTGCAAGTGCCTAGGCACAATCCGCTGCTTCTTGTTGTCGCGAGCCGCATTACCCGCAAGCTCGAGAATCTCGGCAGCAAGGTACTCGAGGACCGCTGCGAGGTACACTGTGGCACGCGGTACCAGTCAGCTCCTAATTCTTCCCTAGGATGTACTAGGTATGGGAGAGAAAGTACCACTCACCAGGTGCACCAGCACCAACGCGCTGTGCGTAGTTGCCCTTCTTGAGGAGACGGTGGACACGACCGACGGGGAACTGGAGACCCGCCTTCGCAGAGCGAGACTGGGACTTGCCAGCTGCTGCCTCGCCGGAAGCCTTGCCAGACTTGGACTTGCCGCTGCCCTTTCCAGACATGTTGTAGATTGAGTGAAGTTGGTGTGGTTGTGGTGGTGAGATGGACCAAGGGCACAGGCGACGGAGAACGGAGTTGAGGCCCCTGCCGCAGGGCACCTAGCGGGCTTTATACGAGCGCGGGACAGGGTGACGCGAGAGGCACGCGCGCGTGCAGAGGACGCACGTGATGGTGTTGATGGCGTTCAACAAAATAAGGTTCAGCGCGTTGGGACGCGTCGCAGCCAAACACGCACAACGCCTCCACATAAATACCCCGCCTATCGCACCTGGATATCTCATCCACCGTCCTCCCGCCTACAGGCCCTTTCGCGTCACCTCACCAGTCAATCACCACCACCTACACAACTAGCAGCAATGGCCCCTAAGCCCGCTTCCACTGCCGGCAAGGCTCCCGCGTCCACTGCCTCGAAGGCGCCGGCGAAGACAACCTCCGAGGGGGGTGCGAAGGGCGCGAAGAAGACCGCCAAGGCTGCGAGCGGCGGCGCAGGCGGCGAGGGCGAGAAGAAGAAGCGTAAGAAGGGCCGTAAGGAGACTTACTCCTCCTACATCTACAAGGGTGTGTATTTCGTTCACCGCAGTTGGGCGATAGGGATACTGGGAGCTGACATGAATCTTCAGTGCTTAAGCAAGTACACCCCGATACTGGTATCTCCAACAAGGCCATGGCCATTTTGAACTCGTTCGTGAACGATATCTTCGAGCGCATCGCTACCGAGGCTTCCAGTACGTCCTCCAGCCTTATTCGGGTTCTCTAGTTCGAGCTGACATGACTCCCTCTGTAGAGCTCGCATCCTACTCCAAGAAGTCGACGATCTCATCCCGCGAGATCCAGACTGCCGTCCGCCTTATTCTCCCCGGTGAGCTCGCGAAGCACGCCATCTCGGAAGGTACCAAGTCTGTAACAAAAGTGAGTCGCCTTCTGGAACAGCATCAAGGAGCGTTGCTGATTGCAATCCTCTCCTCACCAGTTCTCGTCTGCGGGTGCGAAGTAGATTTTCCTGGGGCCGCCGTTCGTCACTGTTGTATTATCTTGTACTTTTTATTTATCCTATATTTCGGCATAGTTCAATATCTGCGCGTGTGAAGTCTAAGTTGTGAGGAGACGCCTTCAGCTACCCGGTATTCATCCATTGCGATGGACCTGTCGTGAATTAGCCCCCAGCATCTCCAGTACCAATCGTCGGTGGCATCTTATCCTAGTGGATGGTCTGTATCGTAACTGTCCTGTTTGCTGTGTGTCACGACGGTTCGGTGTTGACCAACGTACTACTGGACAAAGTGGTGAGCGTACGTCTGCGTTTCCGTCTTTCCCCGTCTCATAGATGAGGCTTGTTACTTGTATAGCTTGCGACGCCGACATGACACGTCCTGGCGGGGAGCAACCTGTAATTCCGACATCTTTCCGCAGCAAGGGCAGACGTTCAAGTTACATTTGTCATTCCGCAAGAAGCTTAGCGTCAGCGCGCAGCAGCTGGAACTTGAATGCCGTCAGAATCAACTCGCGGAGACATGTCTGTTCGAGTGTCGCCCTCGTGGGCGAGGCATGATGTGCTATGAACCAATGGTACGTGCCTAGGCCTCGTACTCAATACCGGCGAAACTAAGTTCTCCATGACATTCGTAGGAGTTACTGTATCTGACGGTCTACTTGGTGTCGCTCGCAATCGTGGTCAATATCGTTATCATACCTCCTTCCTCTCTCGATTCCAAAATCATCCCGCTGGACCAGGAGCCGACGAGTCGACCATCTGATGAGTTCTACGATGTGTACGATGGCGCAGATCCTGACTGACACCAGCTGTTCCATCAGTACGCCTTCGACTCGAAAAGCCACGAATCTTGCGCGGGGGGCGAACGGGCGATACCGTGGCTTGTCGGGTCAGACTGCCTGGGTTGGTTCGATGTGTCCAGCGGGCGGTCAAATGCGTTCTGGTACATTCTGCTATTACGCGATGGGAGAACACTTTGAGGGTCTGTGGTCTGTCGCATATGGCCTGGGAGTCAACTCTAGCTGTTTACCGGTGTACCCGTTCTGAGCCGGAGAACGCCTCAATACTCCCTAGGTGTAGTATCGAGCCTGAACCCGCTTGCGTTCTCCGATTCGCCCTGTTCCCTGCTGAATCCCGCGTTCCCTTCGAGTTCGGACGCGTCACCTATACCGGAGCATCTGGGATAGCACATCATCGTCAAGTTCGACATCAATACTCCTACATCTGTACATGTATCTAGACAATATTTACTCCTCAGGCTTATTCTGGGACCGCTTTGCCAACCGGAGATCTCTAACGAAGTCTGAGATTCCCTCAAGTCCGCGACACAACCCGGGGCTACTTCCCCTCTGGACTGAATCGTTCCACTGTTGTCGAACCTGCCGGCATGCACTCTCCAATGATAGTAGATGGTCATCCGGAGGTGGAACATACGCCCCTCCTATCATTGGCAAAGTGGCCGCGAATGCCAGGAACGGCTGCAATATTATCGACTTGAAGTTCTTGAGCACTCGACGAGAACCGGCGTCTTCGGTCTGAGCGCATGTAGACGCGTGCTTCGCAAATATAGCGTCGAGATCCTCCATTTCTTTTGGGAGGAAGACTACCAAGTCGAAAGACTCATGGGGAAGCTACACACACAGAGGGATGGAGATTGGGGTAGTTAGTGTATCAAACGGCATGAGTACGCTCATCGCAGCACCTACTGGTTGTCCCGTTGGTCTGGTCTGTGAATGGCTGTCAAACCAGATGGACGCCTTGCTCGATAGATCGTCAACATTGGCTGGTACAAATCGCCACACTTGCTCCTTATACTGTGCCGCATGACTATCGCATACTAGTATCGGAACTCAGCTCTAAGAAAATTGGACCGAGGAATGCGGGGAGTCCTTACGCGTCAAGTAACCCGTTATATCGGTGATTTGAGTTGCTTCCTCTGTTTCGTCATCATCCAAAGGCACTGGTTTCCCGACACATTGAAGCCAGGCGATTGTATTCTGGAAAGGCCCATCAGTCGTCGGTCGCGGAGGCTGAATAGACTGGTAAATCTGAGTGCGTACCTCATAATATGTCCTGTCCACGATGACTGGACAAGCTCTGATGGGTTCTGTCTTCTCACAAAGTAGGCACACGTTTCCGTGTAGCCTTGAAGCCATCACAGCAATGGGGTTTGGGAAACGTTCTGGGTCGACCCCCTCCATCAAGAGCGCTACACGCCCGGTGGGGCTCTCAGAGCGATGACTCATGACGTGTGTGCTGATCGGATGGAGTCTCTGATCTGTCCAGAGAAGTCTAGAGAATGTGCGAGGTGGTTGATTGACGGAACCCGGAAGGCTATATGTCGGCTCTTTATATGGTGGCGGCGGGATACATAAGATGTATACGAGCTGACCCATAATCTCTGATCTGCCATCGTGAGAATCATCTTCAGCTATCTTTCCACGCGTATTTACCTCTGCATCGCGGCATGGTTTTAGTATGGCGCCCTTTCTCCATTTCAAGTGCATCTACTGGTCCTGAACGAAGTAGGAGGAAGTCCGTCACATATGCGGAAGTCCCTATGCCGACTTTGTAGAAGTTCGAGGGCAAGCGGGCACAAATGGGATTCGCGTTTGGCCGGTGCAAACGCGTGCCGTACACAGTAGATACAATAAGGCTTATATACGTAGCTAAATAGGGGTAGATAAGGGCGCGGGTATCCGTCGGGGGGCGGGACCTGTGGCGCTCGTTCCGCGAGCTCGCCATCTTGACGCCAGGATTCCAACACATCCCCTCGAGCGAGCGCGGGCAACGAGCGAAGGATAACAAACAAATGGAACGGGGCGGGGATAAGGGAAACAGCGAGCAAGGAAGGAGGGGTTTGTGTCCGCACAAATAGGGGATAACGTACGATAAGTCTAATACATCCCCTTAATCGGGGCGTTTACCACGCTTCCGTCTCCTTCTCGGCAAGAAGCCGATCGGCGCTAACGGTTGCCAAAAATGCGCAGTTGGCCTCTTCAGTCTTGAGCTCGGGGCAGTCGCGCTGATAGTGGCCCTTCTTTGAGCACTTGAAGCAGGTGATGCGCTCGAGCGGGTGG